TAACCTGCTCGGGAGGTCGCTCTGCCTCAAAAATAACATAGAGAATATATATCTTTTGAATGTTGCTCACAATTTGTGATTTTATTTCGAGATATTGTAAATCTAATTTAACTATGCATGTTTTACAAAGTGATATATGATGATAATTAACGTCTAATTTCAATTTTCTTTGTAATTTACTATAGCTTTTTGGATGTCATATGTTAAAAGGGTTAAGATCTGACCGAATATAACATATGTCTTTACAAGTCAAAATATAATTAATACTGGTTTTGAACTGTTAATTTTAACCGTGATATGAATACAATGATATAGAAGGACAGAAAATTCAATAACAATTTAAAAATTGTGATTGTTTTAACTTTTGTTTTTGTTATGTGATGATTATTGGCTTACTGCATCTTACTAACTACTTCTACTGTATAGCTAAAGAAAAGGAATGATATGGGGGAACAGAGGGGAGGGGTGCGTGCTTTGGAAGGGTGGGTGAGGTGAGAGATCGAATTTTGGATCTTTTCTAGTCTAGATAAATCTAATGATTTAAAATAATTAGCCTATTGGTCCACTCTCTTTGTTTCATATTGTAAAACGTTTTGAATTGTTTTTTTATATTAGACTTCTTTAATAAGTTTCATCAAATTTAAAAGAAAACTATTTTCAACACAAAATATTACCATCAAAATATTTTCAATGCTAGATTATTCAATAAAAATAGTTTAGTGTTATAGACATTGCTACATTTTTTTCATAAACTTAATTAAACTTAAACAAGTTTAACTTTAATTAAAAAATTAAAGTGTCTTATAATATGAAACTTATGACCTTTTTTTTAAAGAATTTCTTTCTAATTCGAGGCATGACATGTGACAGCATAGGAGTGCCCATGAGGATGTTTACTGGACTTTTGATGTTTACCAGACTTTATGAGAAATGAATTTATCTCACCAAATGTGGGCAATAATCCCATAAATGATGAACCAAAAGCTACTCCTGTGATCTCCATGAATCGGGCACCCTGACGTACGGAAGCATATTGCCTCGAAAAGATAATTATTATATCCATTGACCATCGTCAGCGATCAAACCAAAGTGTCTAATTAAAAAAATAACTTTCACAATTCGAATGTTGTCACATGTTTCTCGTTCTATTTTACATAAAGCAATACAGAGAGAGACACAGGCCAAAATAGGCCATTAAAGCATTATGTTATTAGTTTGACGCATTACCCTCATTATTAAATTAATTAGTTTCAAAGATCAAAGATGTATGAAATGTAATCGAACCTTACGTCATCCCACTTGATACACCTTTTGTTTCCTCCACCATACCTAATACTACTAAGTACTGAAGAATGACTAATGCGAGATGGCTATACGTGAGAACCCAAATGGGTTGGTGAAATGCGTTATGTATGCGGGAATCTAATGGTTGGTGATAATAGATATTAAGCACAACATTGCCTCCCTACCTCTTCCGGAAGCAGAGTTTGAATATCACCAATTGATTTCTGCTAGAACTAGAAGTTTGACCAATGTGCAAAATGGAGAAACAGAGTGCATTAGTGTACGTAAGATGGACAAGATGAAGCCTGAAACTGCCAACCACATCCTCCTCAGCTAGGGAGTTCAAACTTCAAAGCTTCTGTCCTTGGCCAGGTTGGCCAGACTAGGTTGGCTAGTAAGTATGGTTCTTGTATTGTATTTGCTAATCTTTCGATATTTTTCGCTCGAAACAAAATCTTCGGCGCTCTTTCTCCAAACGGAAGTACTCCCTCTGGTAATAAATATCTGACAGAGTTAACTTTGATTATCAAGTTTGACCACTTATCTTATTTACAAATTTAGTGTAAATTAAAAAAAGTATAAATCAAGCTTAAAGTATCTTGTGTAATAGAACAAATTACAATAAATAAATAAATAATATTTACATATTTTTAAAATAATAAGAGTGGTCAAATTTTGTAGTTAAAATTAGGCAAAATTGGTTATATAGCATCGAAAGTTCACGTTTTTAGTTTTATAGTACCGAAAGATGCCGGTTAACTTTAATAGCACCCAAAGTTCACCCCGTTCTCTTTTTAACACTTCAGTCAATTCTCGATCGTTTTCCGTCCGCCTTGATCGCTATTGACCCCGCCACGCACGCGATATGACGTTTCTACCCCTCATTGCCATGCATTCTACTTGTACTTGTGAGGGATAGAAACGTCATATCGGATGCGTGGCTGGGTCAATAGCGATCAAGGCGGACGGAAAACGATTGAGAATTAACGGAATTGTTAAAAATGGGAACGGGGTAAACTTTAGGTGCTATTAAAGTGAACCGGTATATTTCGGTGCTATAAAACCAAAAAGTGATATTTTAATGCTATATAACCAATTTTTTCTTAAATTAAATGCGTCAAATATTTACGACCGAAGAAAATAGTAGTAACTAAAAAGCTTGCCATTTCGCATTGCCATGGGAGTGGTGAGCCTTGATCAATACTACATGCATGCATATGTTGCATTCTTAAATCTGAAGTCGTTGATGAATTAGGTGCAATTTGCAAGTAACAAAAGTACTCAGCGCGATTGGCAAACATGTTGCGTCAGGCTAATTCGAGAGGATGATTCTGCAGTTGCCGTACGTAAATATCTTATGCTAGCTAGGTGAATATTAGGTCGGCGAGGAGGAAAAAAAAAACAAAAACAAGGTCCTTAAGACGCTTGGAAATAAGCAGTAGGATGCGATGTTTCATCAGCCTCTCTTATACTTGCTCTAGCTTAATTTCTCGCGATCAGCAAAAGGAAGGAGGTCAACGAAAAATAATGTGCGTTAGCAATATATAGCCTGTAGGCTATAGCTAGCTTAACTGGAGCTTGAATTATTATTTTTTTCTTAATATTGCATGAGTACACCAGTGTCGGTTGGTGTTTGAGATCTTCAGTTTTGCCGGTCACCTGCCTCCCTGCAATTATAGAAGATTGTACGGACGGCTTGGCGTTTGTTGCAAGAAAGTGAGCAGAACGTTGTAATAAAAGTCCAGTGATAGATATATAGTATGTTTATGCTGATAAGCTGATTGCCGAGAGAGATTTTACTCCAGACACTCATACAATTATGAAGCTGATGTGAACTACTAACTTCCAAATAATAGTTGTTGTAGGAAGACCTTCCATATATTTATATATATGGTACGTAGAGAGAAGTAAGTGAAGTATGTATAAATAAATGAACGAAAGCTGCATGAAAATTGCAAAAGCAGGTGTATCCGTGTAGTACACTACTCCATTCATTTCATATTATAAATCATTTTAACTTTTTTCTTTAACCAAATTTATAGAAAAACATAGTAGTATTTTTAACACAAAATAAGTAAACTATTAAAATATATTTAATGTGAGATTTAATGAAACAAATTTAGTTTTTTAGATGCTGCTAAAGTTTTCTATAAACCTAGTCAAACATTTAAAAAAATTAACCAGAAAAAGGTTAAAATTAATGATTTATAATATAAAACGGTGTAAGGGTTATCTATATGGATTAGTATAATTATTACTCCTATTCAACGATGAGTTAGTGTATGCGTACTGCCTGTGCAATGCCAAACTACTGCCACTATTTTGGTACTATATGCTGGGTCCGCATCATGGATCGAGCCGTACACAATCCAAGTATCTACGTACGTGCATCATGCATGGCTGTGTATGTGACTAGACCCAGTGTCAGTGGCAGAGTTAGAAATTATCTTAAGTATATGACTTGACAGTAGTAATATACTACCTCCATCCCAAAATATGTAGCTGTGGATATCCATACCCAACGTTTGACCGTCCGTCCTATTTAAAAAAATTGTGAAAAAATTAAAAATATTTAGTCACACATAAAGTACTATTCATGTTTTATCATCTAATAGCAATAAAAATACTAATCATAAAATTTTTTTCAAATAAGACGAACGATCAAACGTTGAACGTAAATAGTGTAAAACTACACTTATTTTAGGACGAAGGGAGTATTTCAACACAGATATCAGATATGAGGAGTGTCACTCTCTCGTACGTGTACTTGCAGGTTGATTGTCACCTTTCACACTTTAACCGAATCATCACAAAAAGGAAGATGATCGAATTGGTCGAGCACAAAATTTATTTCGAAGTGAATTGTACTTTGGATCAGTTTTTATTACTTAAATCGCATATTGGGCTAGGCATTCACAATTCTTTTCGTTTTATTGTATCTTGTCCTTGGCCTCGAACAAGATGCATTTTGTCGCTTACCATCGTTGTTTTCCTCCTCCTCACTGGTGGTGATATTCTAAGGCGGTCGCGGTGAGTCCATGCATCATGACGGGAGAGTTGGAGTGGAGGTGAGGAGGCGTAGTGAGTGAGAGCCAGAGCGGTAACGAGGAACTCCAATTGCCCCCTTTTTATTAGAAGAAAGGTGGCGTGGGAGGTGAGCCACAGTAATAGAGGACGTCACTGGTGTCTGGTGTCGACGGTTGGTCTTATGATAGGAGGTTTGTCTCCAAGGGAAAACTCATGTAGTGGATGTAGCTAGCCACTTGAAATAGTGGCGTGAATTGAAGAAACCTAACGGGCATCTCACACAGACACATATTTAGGACCCATTTAAATCGTAGGACTGATAAGAATACAAGTGTAAAATAAAGGATTGCAAAAGCACAGGAAAAACATAGGAATGACCGTTTGATTGGACCGCATGAAAAACGTAGGAACCAGATGAGAGAGATACACTCAAGGGAATTTTTCCAAGAGGTTAGAGTGGATGTTAAATTTTCTACTTTTTTCCTCTAAAATCATAGGAATAGGAAAGTTTCCTACGTTTTTCCTTTTCTCATTTCTACGAATCAAAGGCATGAATAGTATAGAATTTCCATTCCTTTGTTTTTCCTCCATTTATCCTCCAATTCAAAGGGGGCCTTAAGAGTGCGTCCATGAAAAGAAAAATGTAAGACATAGATAAATTAGTATACGTAATCCTCCACAAACAACCATAAATACAGTGGCATATGGGTAGATAATTTTTCACGGCCAATGATTAATAGTACCAGTACTGTACCACGCATGTCACAAAGCACGGTAAAAACTGAGGTGGTTTACATCTCTCGCTCGCTCACTTACTCTCAAACCAGAGGTCGATATTAGGTAGCTCCCAGCTACCTATTGTCGTACTACTACTTTTTTCCTATGAAAAAAAAAATACATACCACAATAGATATACACGAACAAATTAATATTCAGTGACAATATTGTACGTGACTAATAATGTTATTGGGGGCGGCCATGGTATATTAGACGAGATCCTCCCTCATCCTGGCGGCGAAGTCGTCGGCGTGCTCCTTGGTGACGCAGCTCGCCAGCAGCCGCGTGCCGGCGAGCGGCGCCGGCGCCCGCATGACGATCACCGACGAGATGAGGTCGCAGTTCACCAGCGGCCCCGCCGCCGACGGCGCGCCGTACCCGTAGTCGACGTCGTTGAACCCGAGCTTGCTCCAGTCCGACACGTACACGGACTCGTAGTCGAACGTCATCTGGAACGGGTCGGCGCCGCCGGTGCGCCCCTCCGCCCAGCGCAGGCACTCGCCGGCCATCCGCCGCTTCGCCTCCCGGACCACGCCGACGAGCTCGATCACCGACGACGCCGCCACCTCCCCCGCCGCCGCGGACACCTTCACCGGGAAGATGGCGTTGCCCCAGTAGCCGGTCTCCAGGCCGAGCACCTGGCGGGCGCTGGCGAAGAAGCAGAGCTTGACGGCCGCGGCGGGGTCGGCGGCGATGGCGCGCGTCCGGCACTGCCAGAGCTTGGCGATGACGATGTCGAAGGCGGAGCAGATCTTGCTGGCGCCGGCGGTGGCGGCGTACTGCGCCTTGAGCTTGCCGAGGTAGGCGGCGGGGAAGTCGAAGGCGATGTACTGGAGCGGCAGCACGGGGAGCTCCGGCAGCGGGCCGGGCTTGATGTCCGGGTCCGGGAAGCGGTCGCGCGCCCAGATCGGCTTCACCCGCGGCTCCGGGAGGCCGCGGGCGAGGTCGCCGACGGCGTTCATGAACTGGGCGGCGCCGGTGCCGTCCGCCACCGCGTGGTTGGTGCGCAGCCCGATCACGAAGCCGCCGCAGGTGAACGTCGTCACCTGCAAATCACGTGACCTCCAACTAATTAATCAACTGACTGATGAGTCCGCGTCATTTTTTTGCTTTGTTTTTGGTTCTGTACCCAGGTTTTGACCTCGACATTTTTTCTGCAAGCTACACTGGTTTTCAGGAGTACTCCAGTACATAGTATAGGTATGAGAATAAAACATCAATTCAAATTCGTGGCAAAGGAGACGAAAAAGGTATTTTTAATCTAGCTAGGTGTTGCAATCACGTTGGTACTAGAGTCGTAGATGCAGTTAACTCCTGTACTAATCAAGTGCAGTACACTCACAATGCACAACAGGAGCTAGCAGTAGTATTAATTTAATTTTCTTTTCACGAAATTAAGTTTGACGTGCATGTTTGATTGATAGATTCAAACTGCCGCATGCTTGTTGCCATATCAATTTCAAGGACACATGAAAAACATAACGAGATCCAACAGTGCAAAGCAAAATCTAGAAAGCCAAAAAGAAAAAAGAAAAAAAAAGCAAGCAGGAATAATGCAGTATTAATTCACGTATGTACCTGGATCATGGCGAGGCTGTTGTGCGGCTCGACGGGCCACTGCTCCGGCGTCGGGCACGGCACGAGGTCCTCCTTGGACAGCAGCAGCGGCCGCTCCAGGTGGTTGACGTCGGCGAGGGTGCAGTTGGCGGCGGCCTCCACGAAGTAGACGCCCTCGCCGGAGCACAGCACGGCAGGCCGCCCCGGCGACCGCTCGTCCTCCACGATCCGCCCCGCGAACGGGTAGTAGTGCACCAGCGCGTCCGCCAGCGCGCCGCGCACCACCGCCGCCGCCGGCTTATTATTCTTCTTCTTTCCCTCGACGATGACGCCGCCGTCGGCGCACGGCGCCTCGACGGCGGCGTCGTCGCGGCGGAGGTAGATGTGCACGGACTCGACGAGGCCGCGGTGCGTCGGGTAGCGGTCGACCCAGGCGAGCGGCAGCGTCTCCGACGGCGTCGCTGCGGACGGCCGGACGGGGCCCTCGGACACCTTGGTGACGGCGAAGACGCCCATGGATGCAAGCTAGCTGCTGCTGCTGCTGCTGCTGCTGCAAATCAAGCAAAGCTAGAGCTAACTGTGTGCGTGTGGTGGGTGACACGGCATGCCTTGCTGGGTATTTATAGAAGCAGATTAGCTTCGCTACTTAGCTAGGAGTACACTTTTTTTTTTGTTCTCCATGTCTTTTCTGAACTTTTTCTTCAGAGGTTTGAAAAGAAAAATAAGGCAGGGAGGTAGTGTGGTTGTGTTGACTTAATTAAGCACGTTTAACCTGCTTTGTTTAGCTGCGCTATGGTGCACTGATCACTGACCAGGCTGACTTAATTTGATTTGTTTTAATTCTATCGTTGCGTAATAACGTCATTTGATTTGTTTTAATTCTATCGTTGCGTCATAACGTCATTTATTAATCGGAATTGCTACAAAACTTGCGACAGTTTAATTTAATTTTGCAGCCCGGTTCACACTGTTAAATTCGGTTTACATGGGCGTCGTCGTGCGGTTAGACCGAGAACGCACTAACTTGTACATTTTGCCGGTGTAGTCGTGTAGAAGTGATATATCTCCATATAATCTTGCTTAAATCATGCATGATGCTATATTAGCTCTGCTAGTCACCCCACCAAATCATATTTTGCATGGACTATTGTTATACTTCTTGGAGTACTTTCAGTGTACTGTTCTTAATTTAATAATTTTTTTTTAAATAATGGAAATGTGTTACATCTCCGGCCTCTGCCCGTAAGCACACAGCCAAAAAAATTCAGACGTGAACAGAAAAGTTAAAAAAGGCGAGATGGGACAAACCCTCAACTTCTGCCGATGATATGATCTACTAAAATAATAATTTTTTTCAAAATCACGTAGATTCTATCACGAAATTCTGTAGGTACTACGCCATCCAAAATGAAATAAAAGTTCCTTGGCTACTATTTCCAAGCGTGTAGCACCATTGCGCATAGTATCCTGTTGTTCCTGTGAAAGCATCATACACCAAGAGTGGAGCCAATTGGAACACATGAAGATAACCTGCATGATGTTAGGCATTTTTTTATGGTTAAAAACTATATCATTACGGCAACGCCAAATTGACCAACATAAAGCACTAGCTCCAAATAAAATCATTTTTTTTGTGGGTCTAGGCACTCCCCTTAGCTAGTCACCAAATATATCTTTTGCATTGTGGGGAGGGGGGATGTTGAAGGCAAAGAAGACACATCGCCAAGCAAAACGTACAACATGACAGTCAAAGAAAAGATGTTGGATGGTCTCTTGTGTATTACAAAAACAACATTGCTTGTTTCCCCTCCAATTTCTCTTTATGAGATTATCTTTTGTCAAGATTACTTTTTTGTGAAGAAACCACATAAATACTTTGATTTTTAGTGGTACCTTTACCTCCCATAAGATCCTCTTGTGGATTCTTACATTGGAATTGATGATCGCATTATACATGGATTTGACCGAAAAATGGCCATTTTTATGTAGCGACCAAATAAAGCAATCCTTTTCATTTGACAGGGTTATGTTAGCTAGTTGAGAGATCAGATCGTTCCACTCAACTAACTTTGGTCCTACAATTGATCGTCGGAATGAAACATTCAACGGTGTTGTGCTCATAACCTCTGCCAAAGTAGAATGTCTTTTTCGGACCACATTGTACAGAGAAGGATATTGATATTTGAGAGGTTGTAAGCCCAACCATGTATCTTCCCAAAATCTTATTTCCATCCCATTACCAGGTTTAAAAGATCCATACTGAAAAAATTGATCTTTTACTTTCATTAGGCCAGCCCAAAATTGGGATGTTCCTGGTTTGTGTGACATGTGGGAGAGGGGTTTACCCTTTAAGTACTTGTTGCGCAAAAGGTTTTGCCATAGGCCATCACCATTAAGAAGCTTGAATAGCCATTTGCTCAACAAACATCTATTCATGATATCAAGATTTAGGACACCCAGTCCACCTTGATCTTTTGGCCGGCATATATAATCCCATTTTGTTAACTTATATTTCTTTTTCTGGCTATCACTGCTCCAGAAAAAGCTCGATCGGTAGTAATCTAGTCTTTGAAGTACACCTCGAGGTATTTCAAAAAAGGATAACATGAACATGGGAAGACTCGAAAGAACCAAGTTAAGAAGAACCAATCTCCCACCATAGGAGCTGTTTTTGCCCTTCCATGCGCTAAGTTTTCTTTGAAACCTATCCTCCACACATTTCCAATCAAAATTTCTGAGTTTTCGATAGTGTATGGGGATTCCTAAGTATTTGAATGGAAAGGAACCAGAATTACAACCAAACAGTTGTCTATATTGGTCCTCCATTTCCTTGGCTCCCCCAAAGCAGAAAATTTCACTTTTATGAAAGTTTATTTTCAGCCCCGAGAGATGTTCAAACACACAAAGAATGGCCTTCATGTTTTTTGCTTGTTCAAAATCATGTTCAAGAAATATTATTGTATCGTCGGCATATTGGAGAATGGACAAACCATCATCCACTAAGTGTGGAATTACCCCTCTAATTTGGCCATCGACTTTGACTTTTTCAATAAGAATGGCTAACATATCAGCCACTATGTTAAAAAGAATTGGGGACATTGGATCCCCTTGTCTCAAGCCTTTGCGTGTCCGGAAATTTTTTCCTACATTATCATTGACTTTGACACTTACAGTTCCTCCTTCCACCCAGTTGGAAATCCAATTGCACCACGATTGTGAAAACCCTTTCATTCGTAATGTCTGCTGAAGGAACTGCCATTTAACTTTGTCATAAGCCTTTTCAAAGTCAATTTTGAATATGATACCATCCATTTTCTTTGTGTGTAACTCATGGACAGTCTCATGCAAAATCACCACCCCTTCCATGATATTTCTATCTGGCAAAAACGCTGTTTGGGTTGGGCGAATGACTTTGTGAGCAACCGTTGTAATCCTATTGGTGTCCACTTTTGTAAAAATTTTAAAGCTGACATTCAGTAGGCAAATAGGCCTATATTGTTGAATTTGATTTGCATCAGCCTTTTTTGGCAATAGCGCGATGATCCCAAAGTTTAGGTTATAAAGGGATAATGTCCCTTTATGAAATTCTCTAAATAGAGCCATGAGATCATTCTTAACAATCTCCCAAAAGACCTGATAAAACTCTGCAGGAAAGCCATCTGGACCTAGGGAGGAGTTATGATCCATTTGAAAAATTGCCTCTTTGACTTCCTTTTCTGAAAATTCAGCAGTAAGGATGTCATTTTCCAAGTCGGACACTTGAGGAATATCATCAGTCCATCCCTCTATCATGGATACATGATTATGATCTGGAGGACCAAATAATCCTTTATAATAATTGGTGATGTATTCTTTGAGATTCCCCTCACCCGTTATTATAGTGTCCTCTTGTTCCAACTGGAAAATCATCTGCTTACGATGTTTACCATTGTCTATCAAGTGATAATATTTAGTATTACTATCCCCTTGGAGTAAATGATTTGTCTTAGATCGCTGGTACCAATACAACTCTTCGTCCCTTAACAGTTTTGCCAAATCATTTTTGACCTGCTTCAACGAAGAGTTATGTGTTTGGCTTTTTTGTCTAGTGTGTTAATTAAAACTAAAAGCTTTATTTTTTGTTTTTTATATGTGCCACTTAAACTTCGCGCCCACCCTCTTAAATGTTGCCTAAGGTGGACAATCTTGTGTTTCCAACGTTCCATAGGATTCCTTCCCTTGTTTATGCTTTGCCACTCTTTGGCTACCATCTCAAAGAATCCATCCCGCTCTAGCCAGCCTAATTCAAAACGAAATGGCGGCTGATTGCCAAAATGTGCATGCGATCCGGATCTCAGTATAATTGGAGAGTGGTCTGAAATGGCTCGAGGTAAGGCTTGACACGTAACTAAAGGATATTTTTGCTCCCAGTCAGTGTTCATTAACACTCTATCCAACTTCTCATAAGTTGTATTTTCGAGGTTCTTGGCCCAGGTGAATTGTCTCCCCGAAAGATAATCTCTCTCAAATTGAGACTATTGATGACCGCATTAAAAAGAAAAGGCCAACGAGGGTCAAAAGAATTATTATTCTTTTCTTCGGGTGATCTAATGATATTAAAGTCCCCCCCTACCAATAGAGGGTATGACTCCTTACCACAAGTCTGAGCTAGTTCCGTCAAAAATTATTCTTTTAACTCGGGTTGAGCAGCACCATATACTGCCATTAAAACCCATTTGAAACCATCCTCTTTATTTCTTCGAAGAAACTTCACATAGAAGTCCCCTTCTGAAATTTCACCTATATCAAAAACATTTAAATTTACTCCTAAAAGTATTCCTCCTGATCGCCCGATAGGAGGTTTCTCATGCCAAAGAAAATCTTTTCCACCACAAAGGTTTTTAAGATTTAAAGGGGTGAATGATGGTTTTCTAGTCTCAAGAATGGCAATAAAATCCAAATTTTGCTCCTTAACATATTCAGATATAAATCTAAATTTAGATGCATCACCAAAGCCACAACTATTCCAAAATATTCCTTTCATTTCTTAAACTTATTAGCTTTCTTTTTTGGACCAGTCAAAAGAGGACATACCACTTTATGTTTGACTTTGGTCGAAATCTTCCTCATTTGAGGTATGGCCTGAGAATCCATAGACTCATCGTCATTACTCTCAGCCTCTTCTAGCCAGTCACTACATAAGTGCTGGAGAGAAGACAATTTTAACAATTCATCATTGCTTTTATCTACATTACTAGTAGACGCTACAGCACTACTATAAAGAGTAGCAAATCTATCCACTTCTGAAATTTTAATCTGGTTAATGGACTCCTTTATTTCTAAATCATTCTTTCCTAGAGAAACCCCTAATTTAGAAAAATTTGCAGCAAGAGTCTTATCTGGAATTGAAGCAACAGAATTTGTGGTATTAAACTTGTTACCTGTTAGCGTCTCGAGGTTATGAACCTTTTTAAGCAGCTCTGCCCGGTTTGCCACCGGCGCATCTGCATTTGCCATCGCCTTCTGTCTTTCACTTTGCCTAGTTGGAATAGGGTCCACTGGGCGACGAGGTCGCCTTCTTGTCGGGGATCGAGCTCCAACTGCCTGTGCTGCATCCTGGGCTTTAGA